CCATCAAAGAAAAAATTAAGGACCTATCAGCAAACAAAAAAACGAATAGAATAAAGCAATTATCCATACAACCGACTTCATGCTTGTAATATCACTTTAAGAAACTAACAGAAGTGTGTATTCTGCACTATTATTAAATTCACTTTAATACTTACCATAAAACAATTTTGAAAATTTAACTAACTCCCTACAAGTTATGAAGTAGATAACATTAAATTAGGAACAGAATTTATTTAAAAACATGTATAAGTATATTTTACACTAATAACAGTCACTATTTTAGAGATTTACATGATTATTATTTAACTTATTTGATATCTACTTAAACACAGTCAACTACTATTATAATCACAATGTAAGAATATTTCGCAGATTAAAATAACTGATTTGTAAACATACAATTTATTTCCTTGGTTTTTTGAAAGATACTAGAATAATAAACTGTATAATAAAAGATACAAAACATTTGTGTTTTTTTAAATCTTTCAGCTTTTTTAAATTTTTCATCTTTTCAGCTATTTTAACATCTAATTTATTTATGTCTATTTCCTTTTCTTTAACTTTTCTTCTAAGTTCATTTGCTTTGATAAACAAATCAATGTTCATGCTGGTCTCAGCTTCATCTGCTAAAGCATCTACTTCTTCATTAATATCTTTAATGTCCCTTTGAGAAATTTTTTCTTCTGCTTCATATAATCAATTTCTTCCTCAATGATATTTCTTTTCCTCTTTGAATTTTCAGATTTAGTTAAAGATTTTTGTTTTCTTCTAATACTGCATATATTTAGACCTTGCAGAAGCTGCTGCTGATCTCATTTCTTTATCAATTTTGATATTAAGAACACATCCAGAAAATTTTATGTAATCAAATACTGTGCGTTGAAAAATGTATGATGAGTCACTTAAATTTTCAATTTCAATTGCTTTATTTACAGAGAAGCCCCTTTCCACAGAGGCCTGTCCATGTGACAAGATAAGAATCATTTTCACTATTTTCCATACTTTTGAATAGTGAAAATCATGAAAATAAGAAGTGAGAAATGTGTCAAGAGAAAGATTTTGAGGATCAAAAGTAGAAAATTCATGTAAATTTGTTTTAACTACTTTGTCTAAAAACTCACCAAACTGCAGCAGAATTTCATCCCAATCATCTTGTAAAACACGTTTATTCTGCATTAATACCGTTAGAACTATTTTCATTTTGTTCTGAGCTTTTTCTGGACTTTTTACCATCAATCGCGGGTCTATACAAGATGCATTTCAAATAAGAGAATAATTTATTGAACATTTAGACATTAAGTGTTGTACCATTGTTAAGACACATTGTTGACCTTCTTGTTTCAATGCAAAACTTTCAGCTTGTGAACTGTCCTTCTTGTGGCATTTATCATTCATTAACTGCTCAGCAATAAATCCCAAATAAACTTTACTTTTATCATTATAACAATTTGGATCATTAAAATTAAATTTATAAAGATTTTCTGCTTTAGTTATTTTTGACTATTCTAGTTTCAAAGTTTTAAAGTGCTGAAGACAATCATTTACAAGTTTTAAGATATCTTCAGCAAAAAAGGGAATAAGTGATTTATCGCTGTTGATAATATTCAAGGAAAGGCAAAAATATTTTCGACAGAGAGAGAAAAAAATTTAATTTTATAAGAAGTATTTTATCCTTAGCTTGCTCTCCAAAATATTTGAGAACGATTTCAATGAATTTTTTTTAAACTTCCCCATTTCAACTTCTTTAATGTACAGTAGCAAGTCATCCCATATTTCAATGGCTCTTTCAACTGCTGGGACATTTTGCAACCATCGGTAAAAGCAGATTTTCAGTTAAACTTCTACCCAATAACTTTAGTAATTCATGAAAGTTAATTTTGCGTCTAGTTAATTCAGGAAAATTAGTTTCAATTAGTTGTTTTCAGCTTTAAAAATATTAAATTTTTTAAAATTAGTTGTTTTCAACTAATAACTGTATCCCTATTAGCAAAAATAATGCATTACTATCAACAGCAGTTTTTTCTTTTTTTTTTTCTTTTCTTTTCTTTTTTTTTTTTGAAATCGCTAAATTTTCGTATATGTCCCGTTATTGCTCATCATAAAGTCGTCAAATCCTTTGTGCATAGGATTAAACCAAATATTTAATTGTTCTATTGAAGCTTCAAAACGTATTTCCGAACTGCACTTTTTCTCGGCTAGCATTACCGAATTTGCCCTTGGTGACCGAAAATCGAAATGGAGCCAACAGATTTCCCGCAAAATCGATAACAGACCCTCTGCAGAAATAAAATCATAATCCCGATATCCCATATATATAGTATGTGCAAAAGAGAATAAACTCCGTAGAAGGTGATAAAAAATTAATTTACGGCTTAATTGAAACAAACACAGAAATTAAGCTAAGCAAAACCGTGTAAAAACAAATTGAAATGATAAAACGAAACTTAATTTTCATGTGAATTTTCAGCGCTGACTCTCCCATTAAAGAAATTTCAATTTGTTTCAGACAAAGACCACATTTAGCTTTATAAGGATTGTCATCCATCAATATCCAATCTTCGTAGTCAGCTTGATGAAGCCACAGTTTATTGAAAATGCACTTTCCAGGCATCTCGTTCCTATTGGCGTCGGAAGGGTTGTGGCCTTCCAGGTTGGGATTGCTCTAATTTTGGCAAATATTTTCAGAATCCCCCCTTTTTTTTTTCCTCGAGCACCTTCATCATCATTTTCGCCTCTTAAAGAACTTCCGGCTTCACGCTTTCGTCACAATCTGCCTAAATTTATGGATAACACCTGTTTCGAAAACATTGGGTGAATAGGCCAATCAGACCCCGATACTTTCATTCTAGGCTAGGTAATTAATTTTTTTTTTTTTATCGTTTGCAACGCAAATCCGCCAACAGATTGGTTAAGAGTCGTGTAATTTTAATTTCATATTCATGAGAAATTGCAATTCACACTTAGAATGGCAATCATTAGAAATGATAAGAAATGTCAAATGAGCAAAATTAAGGACCATTTATTCATTTTGGCCAAAATTAAGGACTTTTAAGGACCAAAAATCATTTTTGAAAAAATTAAGGACTTTTAAGGACCGTACGAACCCTGTTAAAGTCATTGAATGTTTAATACACTTTGAATATTTTATGTGCGTCACAGTTTTAGAATGATTTGTGAAAGCCTTGAATCCTTCCCCACCATACTTCAGCAGTGAGTTACAAAAAACTCAATATGCTTTTCCAGCAACATTTATTTTCTTGCACCATGTGCCGATGGTATTCCCATTACCATCTCTCCGTTCAATCCAGTTCCACCTAAATGCATTCCTGACACCTTCTTCTAATTGTATAATATCACTATTTATATCAAGAAATTTCATAGTGAAATTCTCTTGCGTACATAAATAAAAAAAAATATTTCAATAAACGAAAACGAAAAATTTACACGTGCACATCAATAAATGAAACGAAAATTTTACACAGCGGAGAAAAAAAAGTTGAGAAGCGATCAATGACAAATAGCTAATACGGCGAAAAATCCCCCTTCTCTACTTATGGCGCCACGCCAGGAGAGATAAGACCTTTGAACCCAGAGTCACGTGATCGCACATCTGGTCGAACGAAGTCTCTCCCTTTTTTTTCTGCCGCGTCTACTTGCGAAAAGAATCCAGAAGAGATGTCCGAGAACCGGGGAATGAGTCATAACTCACAATAAGAAAAGACCAAAAAAGAGTTTTTTCCCCCTTTCAACGCATTATCACTGCTTTGGAGAAAAAGAAAGGAAAAGTTTTCACCACACACACTGACCTTGCGTTTCTGCTTTCAAAGCAAACAAATTACCCAGATCAAAATAAATAATTCATTATTATTACTTCCTTTTGAATGACGATCCCCGGAATTTCCGGGTATCGAAGTTCAAAATCCCGGAGCACAAACACCCCTGGTAGTATCAATTTCTGGTTAAGTAAGATTCCTCAAAATAAATTTAACCATCATATTAGTGCTCAACACACCAAAATTAGCAAAAATTTGTTGTTTTCATTGTGGACACCATCTGGCTGCTGTTGTTTCAAAATAAATTTATGAAAGTTAGAGTTTGGCTGAATTCTTTGTTGTCTTTCTAAAGTGTGTTGCAAAAACCATTTTTTTTTTTTCTTTCCTTCTTTCTTTTTAAGCAATTTCCTCTATATTTCATTAATGCATTAATATGTATAAAAACTTCTTATACGGTGACAGATGCAAGGGTATGAAAAGGAATTTCTTGCTCCTAGATAAGGTCAGACAATAACAACTGCTTTAGTGATGGTATAGGAAGGTATAATGAATGAAAGTTTAATTCAATGAATGTATCCTCAGCAAATATTTGAAAAATAATCTTATTTGTCTTATGCAAGGTGAGATGAATTCGCAGAACTTTGGTGATATTTTTTAGAACTACGTGTTGATCTGACTTACTAGATACCTATGACAGCACACATCCACTCGACCAAATCTAGTTATTGTATTTCTGAGCATTGAGTTCATAAAGTAACAAATCTGATTTGAATTTCATATAGAATACAAGAGACATTTTTGGAATAATTACTGTATGATTCAGGATCATAATGTTGGTAGAGGGAACTTATTCCCTCAAATTCTAATTAGCTACATTCTTTTGATCAAGAAACACATTGCAATATGTGTGTACAAGTTCTGGAAGATCATATTCCTTTATTAATATCAAAAGACTATTTCTGAAGTACTTCCCTTTTTTCTAATATGCTGTTTCACTTTTATTTGTTTCATAACACAGATTTATGTGATATGTATTCATATTCAGTTTTTTAATTTTATTTACAATGCTATGAACCACCAATAATTTATTAATTTAATTTCATTCAAAACATTTTGACGAATCAATGCTTTTGCGTATGTTAAGAAAATTCTGGATCATGGTGTAACTTTTAATTTAGAAATATCTACAAAATTAATATATTTCCAAAAAATAAATAAAGACATTTGTCTGAAAAAATACCTGATTCCTTTATAAATAAAAATCAACAAGATAGTTTACATCAATGCTGCATATCAGATGGCAGATTTGGTTTAACTCATTTAGAAGTTGCTACATTAGCAAATAGTATACGTAAATTTTAACAGAATCCAAAATAATTTTATGGTATAAAAATTTATAATTGATACATAATATTTATCACAAGTAGCACCTAAAAAGGAACTCATATTTAAGACACATGTGAAATGAAAGTAACAAAGCATTAAAATTTTACTCAGACACCAATTTACTCATCAGATCACACATCCATACATAAAAATTACTAGAATCACTAATATTTTGGGGAAAAGTAAATAAAAAAATATAATATACATTTATTTAATAAAATCTTCATAATTGCAGTCTTAATAAACCTAACCTTAAATAGATCTTCTGGACATTTTCTTTAAAAGATGGTTTCTAAATTTTTATTCATACAATACTTTAAATTTACCTCTTCAGAAAAAGTTCTTGTACCTCTAAGGTCATGAAAATAAGTATAAATATTAAATAACAAACAAAAAAGATTAGTGATGAAATAAATGTATTTACATTATAATTTGATCTGACTTTAATTTCAATACAAAATCATAAAACACGATATTCATAAAAGTTCATGACATGAAGACATATATTATATCCTCCAATCAAAAATATAATATACAGCAGAACTAAAGCAAGAAGAGGATGAAGCAATACTTGAGTATTTTCCAGGATGGGTAATGCTAAAAACAATAACACAAAAGTTAAGATGCGGATTTAAAACACAATAAATATTTAAATATGATAAAAGAAAATGACTTACCACTGTAACCTAGAAATGTAATATATATGTAATATCCCAAAGCAATCAGCCATAATGTGTTTCCAACAAATCTGGATATAAACCAATCATGACTGATGAGAACTAAAAAAAGAAATTTTTACTAGATATCAGTCTACTTATATATTTTCTCCTATTGAAATTCACTATCTTCACAAAATAAAAAATATTCTTCAATTTTGGGAGAGGGATTTAAGTTTAATGATGAAAACAGAAATGTATTAAGCATATATAATAAATTTTATTTTTGATACTTAAACATATTACTATACTATAAAGTATTGAGAATTATTTCACAAAGCACAATATTTTAATTTATTGATCAGCATTTATTACATCCACTTGAAAGTAATCTTTTTTGATTGCAATGTAATTATGCCAATTTTTTTTCCTAAGCCCCAAAATATGTTTTAAAAATGTTTCAGTGAAATGCCTTCAGAATTCACAGTGGAATTGCTTTTATTGCATTAACAGAAAAGAGTGACCAAGAAACAGCAATTTCAACTGCCTGAATATGAAAAAGTCATATAGTACTACATCAGATAAATAAAGATCTCTCAGTGAAATTTTGGGCTAAAACTTCATAAAAAAGCATCTAATTTCACTCAATTTATGTAATTTTTTAAAAATTTCATGTTTCAAAAAGAAAGAAAATAATTTATTTATCAAAATACTCGAACATAATAAATGCATGATAAAATGTTTCTGGTGGATAATAATAAATGAATGCTTAAGCACAATTAAAAAAAAAATTAAAATTCAATGTGCATATAATTTTGTGGAAAAAATAAATACTATACCATATACAAATTTAAATACAGACATTTACCTATTAAATATTAGTCACGTGTTCATATAAGCATTTCTTATAAATATCTTAAAAGTGTTCATAAGTGTTTCTTATATTAAAACACTTCAAATCAAGTCACAACAAAACAATCGAGTCTTCAAATCAATACAACAAAACCACTTTGAAGTTACTTCGAAAAACTTGACAGTATAATCTTGTAATTAAAATTTGCACTGTTTTATTTACAAGATTATACTGTCATTGCCTACAGTTTTTTAGGGATATATCAACAAAATTTTGTATGTAGTGTTTTTCTTTCACAATTAGTGATCAACATTTCTTCTAGATTTAGATACAAAATAGATGATATAAATTCAGATAAACGGAAAGTTGGAAGATTTAGAGGGAGACTGGGAAATGCGATGAAAAACTGAAAGTCTATCGGTTTTATATGGATGGTTGTCAGCCCTGACAAAAACATTAATAAAACAATTACAACACTATCTAATAAAATAAAGCAGAAAGGATGGCATGTCTCTCCATATACTGCTCAAAGTAATTTCTGAAAAATGTAAAAAGATCAGAAATTCATATTGAATAAAGGAAATTTCTAGTTTAAAAAACAAAAGAATGCAAATGTTATTAAGGCATTCAAATGCATAGGAAAAAATTATGTTTTATTTAGATGCTATAGGTAGGTATAGAGGAATAAATCAATAAAGCACTGTCCACACTACCTTTATGCAAGCCAATGTCTGGCTTGATCCTGACTTTTAGAATTTGAGGATAGTCTCCTGAAGTACTGAAGAATTTCTTGCCGCACTCTTTCTATTTGTACAGCAGCATCTTGAAAATGGCACACGTGCCTGCTCATCAGACTCCCAAATGTTCTGTATTAGGAAGAAATCTATTCATTCAGCTGGCTGGGGAAGTGTCTGACAAGTACAAAAGACAACAGTAGAAATGTTTACTCTGAGTGGCTAGGCTATTGAAATCTGAGTGGCTCTATTGAAATGTAAGCCTGGAATGTCTCAAAAGGAAGAACGACACAATAGATGTAGAATATCACTGATGCAATGCCATGCTGTATAGGCATAATGGATGACCAACAGATGGGTTCAACTATCAAATACGTATGCTGTTTTTTTAAGTAAGGTCAGTTTTTTTTTTTAATGACAATGCTTTGTTTTAAAAACCTTTATTTTAAGATTGTACATACTTTTGCTTATTTTTCTACATAGTTTCCTAGTTTATTTATGCACTTGTCATACCTTAAAAGTAAGTTTTAAAAATCCTTTTCAAAGAAGTCTGCTGTCTGCTCAGACAGCTAAGAGTTCACAGCTGCTTTCATTTTCTTGTTGTCAATGAAACGCTTCCCACCAAGATGGTGTTTGAGGTACCGGGAAAGGTGGAAATCGCTGGGAGCAAGATTGGGGCTATATGGTGCCATGGTCCAAAACTTCCCAGGTAAAACATTTGATTAAGTCCCAAGTCGTTTGAGAAGTATGAAGCCTTGCATTGTTGTGGAGGAGCAAAATTCCTTTTGACAGCATGCTGCGCCGTTTGTTTAGCAATCCTCGTCGGAGCTTCTGTACAGTTGCGCAATAGGTCAATCCTTGTGGCATAAAGTCCCCCAGCAAAACACCACGCTGATCCCAGAACACTGTTGCCATAATCTTGCGCTTTCACATTGACGGGAGAGGATGTGTTTTGCCATTTTATTGACTATTATTTGGATTCAAAGGCGATATGGGATACCCATGTTTCATCTCCAGTAATGATTTGACTCAACATGTCATCCCCTTCTTCCTCGTAACGAATCAAAAAGTCCAATGAACTGGCAAACCTCTTCTCTTTGTGTTCTGCTGTGAGGAGTTTGAGTACCCACTGAGAACACAATTTCTTAAAGTTTAGGTTTTCAGTCACAATTTTGTACACCACCGACCAAGAAACATGGGGAAATTCCAATGAAAGAGTGGTTATCGTGAATCTCCTGTTCTCACGAATTTTTGTTTCAAATCATCAGTGATTATAGGGGGCCAGCCTGAGTGTTCTTCATCATGGACGTTTGTACGCCCATCTTTAAACTCTTTGACCCATCTTTAGACTTTACTATCACTTATTGCTTCAGTGCCATAAACTTCTGTTATTTGGCGATGAATGTCTGCAGCCGACATGTTTCTTGCAGTCAAAATACGGATAACAGACCGTATCTCACACGTGGCGGGCGATTCAATCACCTTAAACATTTTAAAGACACACAGCGAAGCTTACACGACTGCTAAAGAGCTGAAACTGGAGTGAGCTTGTTTGCAAAGGATGCTGGTCAGTGGCGCTGCTGGTCAATTCCATTGCAGCGTATGCACGAACTAGGGAAGTATATGACCTTACTTAAAAAACAGTTCTCATAAAATGTCACCTCAAAGCATAACTCTCTGTTATGGGCTGTTTGACAGGCAACAGTACAGACTAAAGACAGCTGAAGATAATTCACTCAATATGATTTCTGGTCAAAAAAGCCTAACACCACTGCAAACATACTTATAGGTGTACACAGGTGAGAAGTATCTAGCTTACGGGTGTCACAAGCACAGATCCGATTCTCTGAGTTGTCTATCGATGGTCCTAGTGAACAATGATGCTCTTGTTTCATGCTGGATTATTAATAATGATGAAACAGGTGCTGCAAGAGCCTCAGGGAGCAATGTTGTGTCAGCAGGTTCTATCATTTCTTTAAATTAAGTGCTGCCTTCTTAATGCTATGTTCCATCATGGTTCAAACACTCCTGACATACTATCTAATTATGGTACTTTCCTGACCCAAATGTTGAGCAATCCTTTAATTTAATGATTCTGTAAGCCACCTGAACATCCTCTGTCAACTACTAGCATATGTTTATATTGCAAACGAATCCATTTGCAAGGTACTGAAGCATTCAAAATCAATACATGGAATTAAATTCAAATAGAAATTCTCCTCTTTTAAATACTATCTGGATACTAAGTTGCAATGCTCTGTAGCTTCAACTCATTCACTGGCTGCCAACATTTAATCATTTGCATATGGGAATCAAAAGGTATTTACAAAAGAAATTTCATTACAATCAGAAAACATTTTCTAGATACCCTTCTTTTTTTGTCTGCGTCTCCGTGTGAGGGCATGCATGCATCTTACAGAGCAGAAGGAAGAACCATCAAACACTAATGAAGTGATGTGATTTAATATGATACTGATCATGCATTTGCAGCAAAAATAGCTGCAGTTTTATCACGCAAGGCACAAATGCTGACTTCATCTTAAAATTTTCATGCTTGAAATACCAAATGCATTTATTTCTATATACTTACATGCGCGTGCATACAAGCACACTTACAGAGAGAACAACAAAAGAATTCCAGGGGGCGATACTTTCAGAGAACCAGATTTCATTCTTTAAATTGCACTTTCTTAGACCCGCCTTCAATAACAAGGAGTATAGAAGAAGAGAGAAATAAAATAATCCAGGTTCTGACATTGTCGAAACTTACTGGATGAATAGGACTTGAAATTTCAATAGCTTTGCTAAAAAAAATTAAAATTAAAGCACAGACTCAAAATCATGTGATAAGTAAAATTCTCCCTTGAATAATATGGAAAATAGACTAAGTTACAACAAAAATGATATGGAAAACAGACTAAGTTACGACGATAAGCAATTCAGATACTTTTAGGATTTGAAAAAAATGACATGTATTCAAGCGATGACTTGAAAAGATTTGACACTATCATCAAAAAGTACTCATTGTTTTTAAAAGACTAACTTTGTTATACTGATTAGCAATGAATTTTATTAATTCAGAAAATGAATGATCGGTATACTTTTGTGTTGATTGGTCGTAATTGTTTTCCCTACCCCCCCTTGTTTTATCTAGATAATTCCTTTTAAATGAAAACTGTAATACCTGTTTCCAACTCCTTAAAAAGTTTGTTATAATATCTGCAGTTTAAAATTAAAATTTTTAATATTTCACAATATGTTAATATACTTACTGTGATAAAAGAAAAGTTGAAATATGTGCAAAATTACAAAAAGAGGAAAAAAGGCATTGAGATGCACATCAAATGCATAAGCCCATTCAACATCTTGGTCTTTACAAGTGGGTTTCCTTAAATATTTATTTGTTACGAACCTAGGGGGAATAGAAAGTCTACATATATGAATAAAAAAGCAACATTTAAATATATGGTACATAAAAGCACAATATATATATTTTTAAAACAGCACAGAGGAAAATTTCTAAAATAAAATATATTAAAAAATGGGAATGGCATTAAAAAAACTATATTTACCATGCACACTCACTGAACCAAAACCATAGTTTGACAAAATGTGTAATTTGTACACTTGAAATTCATAATAACGTAAATCTCTTGCATCACTCAAGTGCAGTTTTATAAATTTTCAATTAAAATTAAAATTAAAAAAAATTATTTTAAAAAAAAATTCACTATAGAAAATTCTACAGTCTAATTTCATGAACTACATTCAAATGTTATAACCAAGAAATATTAAATTAAATATTTAAAAAAATCAGCTTTCTAATTAAATACATTAGGAGAAATAATGAAATACTTTCAGTCAAATGCAATAACAGCAAGGGCAAAAGTTAATTTAAATGAATCTACACAGAGAGCAACTGAATAAAATACCAACAGAAGAAAAGAAAAAGATATGATAAAATGGGAATAACATATTAAAAAAATACATTCAGTATTAATAACTGCTTACCAAAGACATGATGATATCAATAGTCCAACTCCAATGCAATCAATAAAAATCACCCATAGCAAAAATTTAATAAAATGAAGAAACTGGAAGTGAAGAACAACAGCAAAACCAACAGAAGAAACTACATATGGGAGGAAAATGAGAGAAAAAATAATTCATTTGATGCAAACAATGTGTAAAATTTCAATAATATATACAGTGCAGATTTAATTCAGCATAATAATACATAAGATATAAAACAAAACAAATTAATCCACTTTTCAGTATTCTGACAACAAAGATGTTGAATATGCATGAGAACTGCCATACTAAAAAAGCTCTACAACAAAGATATGCGGTCATTTTTTACATTTCTTTCAAAAACCATTAAATTGGTTTCATGGAAACTGATTTTTCATGAACATAGTTTTGCATATTCCTTGTTCTCTCCAGATCAAAAGACATCTAAAATCACAGTTCAGGATATATCTGGACGTGTCAATACACAGTTCTCTTCTTCTTGGTTCCACTGAGCATGATAATGAACTCCTTAATCCTCTCAGCGTTAAGGCCGGAAAATTCCGTACAGAAGGTTGCCTTCCACATTCATTATACATGAACTTCTGCTAGCTTTTAATGTATCTGATTTCAGTTTGGATGGTATGTTGGAAGAAAAGGAATCAAGGTACAAAATGAGTCATTTTTTCATTCAAATCAAGAAAATATCACTTATTCATGACATTTTGAGGAACTTTGAAATTTAAAGGCTAAACCCGTAACGCTCAGAGGGTTAAAAAGGCCTCTTTGGAATACAGAATAAATGAAACAAAAGCCATAGGTTTTTCTCGCATGAAGTTTATAAATAAGAGAAGGAAACCTTTTTGCAGCAGCAGAATGGTTGATTCGACTTCCTGTGATAGTCTGAAGGTTTAAAACCAAATCTCTCGTAGTCATGTCACCATTTTCTCGCATCATCAATAATAAAAAAAAATGTTAGTGGATATAGTTATGCTCCTGGTTTAGTCTGCAACTTCAAAAGAGGTATTTCAAGGTCACAACAACACTTCCCTTATTCAAGATTGTAATTATTATGTTGTAGCATATAGGTTATCAGAAATGAACACACAAGTATATCATAAATATCATTTAAAGATACCACAGCAAATATTTAATCATACAGATACATACCCCTATCATAATTGTGAATATAAAAAGAAGCATTTTAATTCAAAAACCTGCATTTGAAGCTTTCAGATTCCTTATTTGTAAAGGACTCTTTGCTTGGTTTAAACATTACTGTCAAGCTCAGGATGCATTCTTTCCAAACATATCTTTATTCTTTGATGCATCAATATACTTTTGGAGATGCTAAGCTTATAGATAATGATGGTGTTACATGCTTACAAAAATTAGCTAATCTTTATTTTCAAATTACTTGACATTACATGATTAAAAAACTCTTTTGTGGTCTATACAGTCTCTCGGTATTTTTGGATGGCTAATATGATGCTGTAAAAACTTTTCTATTTGTATTATCTTTCAGGGGAAAAAAGGAATTCTTCTGGAGAGAATGCCAGACAACTCCATAATATTTTAACATCAGAAATTCCATGAAAGGCAAAAAACTCTTTTAACATTTCAACTGTGGCTGCTGATGATACAGAAGGAATATGCTTAATTTTTAGCCACTTGAAAAAGAATCAATAATAAATTAAAAAATTTTAACTGTCAATGGTCCTCCAAAATCAAGATGCAAATGAGACCATAAATAACTTATTTCTCAAGCATAAATAGGAGCTCGGAGAATTAAGCTTAGTTGTTTGGCATATATTACAATCTGTATCTGCAATATCAGGCATCATACACATATACAGTACAAAGTCCGAGATCAGGATGTCCAATATCCGGAATGATCTAAAATCCAGACCTCAAAGCCACAGACAACTTTTCTTTTAAATACTATTTTTGTATGCTTTACTCATGCACATTTGTTCCCCCCCCCATAACAAAACATGGAGAGTTCCAATTCTTAATTTAACTCTGGCACTAAATAAAATACCTTATTATTCAAGAAAGAATCATTTTAGCATAAATTTAAGAGGTCAATACACACAATGTATATATATATATATTTACTAAATAAGATTGAATCATCTCCTAAGATTAATTATAGTAGAATGATCTGAAAAGAGTGAATCCATACTTAGTAAGTTCTATTTCGAAAGACGTTTTTAAGTAACTTGAATGTAAATTGTTAAAAATGTTTAACGGGCACTGGAATTAAATCATGAATAACAATTGTCCGATCAATGGCAATGATTACTTGCATTTAATTTAATTCTTGCTTTTGATTTATTCCTTTCACAATTGTTATTCATGATTTAATTCCAGTCCCCGTTAAACATTTTTAACAATTTACATTCAAGTTACTTAAAAACATCTTTCGAAATAGTACTAAGTATGGATTCACTCTTTTCAGATCATTCTACTATAATTAATCTTGGGAGATAATATAATCAATCTTATATAGTAAATAAATTATTATTAACTTACTTTGCAGCAATTGCACAAGTAGTAGAATAACTTAATTTCGCACATAATGAAGTTAAGATCATACAACATATCTATATATATATATATACAGGGTGCCACCCGTTTAACTGCCAAACGGCTACATCTATACTCATAAATGTGGTGTCTAGGTATAGTAAAGTGGCCATGAGCTCCTAGATGAGATAGCTTACAGTGCCACCTGGTGGAAAACGGCAAAGTTACCATCTCTATCTCGAAAGCGGTACGAGATAGGAAAAAAAGTTAATAACAAAATTACAGCATCCTCAATTTAGTACAAAAAGACATCTTATGGACATGAATGTTACAGACAGAAGGTTTTAAACATGTATTTGTTTGTTTGCAATTTCCTACATTGTGTCGAGAGGAAACAATCTTAGAAAGAAAACAACGATTAGTTATCATAAGCTACCTTTATTTCCAATACTCAAACTTATCTCCATCATCTGAAATGCACATCTGGACCCTTGTTAGAACTTTATGCTGTAGCACAGCGGATAACACGTTTGCACAAGCATCTGTAATACATTGTTAAAGTTCCTGCAATGTTTGTAGAGGTGTCGCACACACCTGCTGTTTAAGGTATCCCCACAGGAAAAAGACTAGTGCAGTCAGGTAAGATGACCGTGGAGGCCATTCTTAGAAGTCACCACACCCAATTATTCATTCTTCGAATTCCACCATCAGGTACTGCTTAACTCATGACACCTTGTGCGCAGGCACACCAACATGTTATAGCCATCTATTCTGGAGTTGAAGCAATGGCAGGTTCTCAACAAAAGTGGGTATTACATCTTGCAGAAGTTCTAAATATTGTGCGGCCATTAATGTACCCTGGTAAAATATTGGGCTGATTAGCCTGTTATTATAAATTCCTCACCAAACATTAATCGAAAACCATATTTGATGTCAAATGTTGGCAGAACATGATGGATTTTCCAGTGCCCAGCAATGGGTGTTCTGTTTATTGTATATTTCATTCCACAAAAAACATACCTCATCCATCCACACTATATCTGCAAAGAATGTTGGCTGTACCTCTATTTGGTTCATCACAGAGTTGCACCATGCGAAACATCTCTGGGCATCCCTGTACGCCTGATTAGGTGTTGGCTGGTATGGATGAGTACTTAATTCATTTAGGATTTTCCAAGCGTGACTTTTTGAGTAGCCACAGTTTTCACTTCTCTCTTTTGTGCTGCTGTTTGAATATGTGAGGGCGTATGATAATATATCTTCCGTTTGTACTTTCTACCTTACTTTAGCTGGTCTGCCGAATCAAAATTGGCTAGTCCCGTAGCCTGTCTCTCTTAAATATTTCACAACTACTAGGATGGTTTTATATAAAGGATGCGGGCCTGCAGAAAAAAAAACTGTGATACAACCACGCTGTCGATTGTGCCTTGTGCCCACATTCACTGTCACAAACCATCTCACAAAAATTATCTTTTGAAAATAGTCCATTAGCATGAGTTTCAACATACAAACCCTGGGAGATATATCTTTTATAGCTGTCTCAGATGAACAGGTGTGATGTTTCATACACTATCTGCATAATGCATAAATTCACAAACAAAGATCAAATTGCGTTGAGTTGATGCGTTTTGGGACACGATTGCGCATGATCTGCATATTATCTACTCTATTTGTAAAGACAATCAGTACAAGAATGCACCCCAGGATTTAAAGTCTTCTCGATAATGAATTACAAGCGATACCACTGTAGCACGATGTGAGCTCGTTTTTCATTCGAAAGAAAATCATTTCTCCTTTCGTTCAAGTTTCGAAAATCGCAAAGAAACACATGTGCGTTTTCAGTGTTCTGTTATTAGCATTCATATCCACAAGGTGTCTTTTCGTACTAAATCGATGATGCTCTACAACTTTGTAATTTACTTTTTCTTCCTGTCTTGTACCATCTTCGAGATAGAGCCTCTAATTCCACCGTTTTCTACCATCTAGTAATGCATAGTTGCTTTACTATACCTAGACACCACTTTTATGACTACAGATGCAGCCGTACGGCAGTTAAACTGGACTTTAGTGGGCCCCTGTATATATGGAAAATTCATTATGCTTCGTTTATTATATTTGAAATTCTGAGGAATCATTTTCTTCAGATCATCTCCTCAACACCCAGTTCAGCACACATGATAATATAGAATCCTCTAGTGTTGCTTTAGCTATTTATTTGCACATACTGAAGGATCTTTAAAAACTTTCAGAAAAAGAACTTCAAGAGGTCGTGGAATTTCAATCTAATCGATAGTCTGGCAGTCTACTTAATATATCGGCATTTCAAATTTCCTTACATGTTCCATACAAGAGTAAAATCATACATGTTCTGTTATGTTATCATCTTATGCAAGGATATAATATCAGCTTAGGAAAAAAGTGCCAAACGAGGCTCAGGATCACTCACAATTGTGAATTTATGACCATACTAAATGTGAAATTTCTAAATACCTGCTATAATATTTAATGCTTCCTTATTAATTTATACATCACTTCCTTCAGTTGAAGTTATAATTCTAGACACACAAGTAACTGGAACTTCAAGACCATCTGGAAGTTTGTGAGTTAGGGCATAACTTATTTCATATGTGGAAGCATCAAAAATAAGGATTATATGCAAATTTTCATCAAAATGCATTAATGCACTTTCTGCAGACTGATTTCCATGGAGTATTTTCCAACAAGCCATTTAAAGGCTCCACAACTGTTGCTTTATTAGGTACTAAACCACAATAAAAATTTAATAAGCTTAAAATTGTTGGTAATTGTTTATTTTTTAGAAACTGGAGCAGATTGCAAGGCTTTGATTTTGGATTAAATAGATATATATTCTCTCTCAATCAATTCTGTATTGCACAAATTTCATTTAAGTTACATAGGATTGACATTTTTCTTTATTTAAATGCAAACATGTTTCTTAAAGATGGGTCAGAACTTATCATAGTCTAAAAGCAAGATCTTTTAAAGACTTATCCATACTTATTATTTTTCATCAAAATATGAAATAATGCCTTCTAACATACCAAATATACCATCAAATAATGTTTTGAAATAATCTATAAGCAACTTTAATTCCATACTGCATGTACACTTTACCTCGTAAGAAATTCTGAGCATTTTACCTGGACAAGCTTCAGTAGATTTATTGTTGACTAACAGTTGTAGTTAGACTTAAGTCAAACTGATTTTTGTGAAATAAATTCCATGATTTACACTAGATATTTAATAACTAGAAATTTACACTAGGAAATGGAATAGTTCCAAGTAATAATAATTGCAATTAAATTTTAATATGCATTTTTTAAAATGAAATTTATTATTCAATTCTTCTGATACATGTGACAATTTTTTAAAATTTATTTATTTTAAAATTTTTTATACATTTTTTACGACAATTTTACTTATTGGATTGGATATAGCAAACCAAGCATACAGTCTCTTGAAATTCTTTATAGCAGAGTTTACCTGTATTTTATTTGCGTTACCTCAGCAACACTAAGTCGAAAAGGAGTGACATGTGCTCAAAATCATTAACTAAACTAGCTTTTTTGCTGTTTTATCATCTGTCAGCAAGAGGCAGGATAGAAATTTCTCATTTGTGTAGGAAAAATAAGGTCAACTTTGAATTTTGGATCCCCCCTAAAAAAACCAAGAAGACATGAGCTATATATCTTCAGCCTACTTTTTAAAATATTTTTTGCATTTTATTTTTAAAAAAAAATTTCAAACTTCAATCATTGGGAAAGCCTAATATGGTGTTACATAACCCATATAATATGGTAATATTTGCTTATGATGCAATAAATACGCTAATATTCTAATATGATAATTATTGCTTATGATGCAATAAATATTAACAATATATAAAAGAAAACTAGCTCATTCACTGCTTTTAGCACGTTGAGCACGGCGCCGGTACCGGGGGATCGACAGTGAACTTTCCGTGTGGCCGGTGTCGGTCCCTGGGGACTGGCACTGGAATTTTCGTTTGGCTGGCGTCGGTCCGCGGGGCCAACAGTATTAAAGTTAAAAAATAAATATAGTCTCAATGAAATGTGATCAAATTTAGTTTTAATGAAATGTATTGAAACATTCTAAACAAAAATACAGCTTAGCTTTGCGGCTTAGCTCACTGCCGGCTGAACGGAAAGGACAGCAAATTCGGCGGCGTGCTCAACGTGTTAAATGTACACACACACAAGCATGCATATGTATATGGGAGAACAAATACAGGGAAGAATATGAAGATACATTTACCTAGCACATGGCAAGCACAAAAATTTACACTAATACTTTTCATTTTCCTTAAATTAACAAGTTTAAACTATCACTAATAAACATATTAAAAATAAATTGTTTCAAAGATTATGCATAGCTTAGTGCAAACATATACATACCAATTAGACAAAAACTAAGAAGTACCAAAAAAGCAGGATCATCTCTGGCAAACTGATTTTTTGTTTCTACAAAGAGGAAAAATATTATTTTATGGTAACTTTAAAGTAATTTGAAGAGCAGGTTTTATAGTACATACATTTATAGTATATACATATTACAGGAATATGAAAATATTACAATTAAATTATTTTCCCCGAAATGTTTCATTTTACTAATTTGTTTAATTTCTTCTGAAATCAATCATAAAATAAAAATTAATAATAAATTAGAAAGAGAAATTAGTTTATATTGATACATTTCTCCCTCCTCCACGCTTTTACAAATGACAAAAAATATGTACCTGTGATATATAATGCATTACACAATTCAAGAAAGCAATCCTATTATGCAGTGTAAGTAGAAAGTTGTATACACCTTTCATAACTTTTTCAGTTTAATGCAGAAAAATACATTCATCTAACTTCACAGATATTTATTAAATTTTTAATATAAAAAGTAAATGACAAAGAAATTTTTTTGAATATTCTGTTTTCATCACATTTGGAAAGTCCAAAGCCAGCAAAAACTGTCTCAGTGAGCCCAAAAAAAGAAGGAGGAGACAGTTCTATATCTCCTGTTCTAGTTAGCCGTTCGACTAACTTCAAATTGTAATTTTCCTGCCTCAAAATCATGATTGGGCATATGCATTAGATTTATGTACAGCATTGCTCTAATATATATCTTATATTCCAATGCAAAACTGAATTTTTCTAGAAAGATATGTCAGTGCTCCCCTATATTTTGGTACTATGCCTCAAATGATGCATAAATATTAAATTTTACAATAATCTTGCTAGCCATTTCAGAAATATAAAATTTGGTCCTAGTTTTTAAATTTCAATTTCTAATTCACACCCAATAATATTTCACTTCCTAAACTTCAAATCTGTATAAAACCTGACAATTTTCTTCTCCTTTCAATGATTGACTATGTGCTGTTTCAGAGTTTCAAAATTAAAATTATTCAGCTACCAATATAAGCAGACTCTATTTTAAACATTAAATTTTTATAATATTCAGAAAATGGCAAAATTATTTTAAACTATGTATTTTAAAATAAGATGCAAGAAAAACACTTTTTTTTCCAGGAAATTCCAGGAAATTTTCCAGGAAAAGAAGTTCTGTATCCTTCTAATAGACAATCTTATCTTACTTAATTGTATAGTTACTTAACAGATTGATAGAGGGTGTCTCTAAAATTGTTGTTTTTACCCATTTTTTTTTCTTCTGCCATTTCATTTAAATTTACATGGTTAGATTTATTATCATTTAATATTAATAATTTTTTTGTTCCACAAAATATTTACTTCTTTTCTTGTGATTTATACTGCATATAAGAAAACTTTCAACGTGCGAACAAAAGGGTGGAAGATTTTTGTAAAAATCAGATTAGCTGGTTTAAACATTTCAATATATTATTCAACATTAATATAATTAAAAGTGAACCCTTAAATGTTATGGATAGAGATCATATCAAAAATTCTGCATATATCTTGAATGAAACAGATAAGAGGTAAGACAAAATACACCCGATTTCATACTGCTATATTTAGTTGTTTCAAAACCTATTTACAAAAATTTTGTTGTAAGCAAGAGTATTAAAAAAAGGGAGCTAATGAATTTAGAGATAAATTAAACACTGTTGCCACTTAAAATAACAGTTATTCCATTTGCTTCTTATTTCAACTCTTTGTAATGTGAACGGTAATATGAGAATAAACTGACAACAAAGATTTGAAGACAGCATTTTAAAAACTTTTCACGATTCAACGGACAAATTGGATGTGAAAGAAATAATAAGCATAAACATTGCTTTTACAAATAAAATAGTCTGAAAAAGAGGTGGTGTCATCTAGTATAAAAGTGATTAACTAACTAATGAAATTCAGTAGATCGCCAGTTGAGACAATACCAGAAGTTCTTCAAAAAAACTGAAATGAGGAGAAACACACAAATTTAAAATTAAAATTTTTAATTAAATGTTTGCTATTTTCTGATTATCTGCACCCCTTCCCAAAAAATCACCAACCACTGGCGATTAATAATTCAAACTTAGAATAACAGCTGCGAATTTTTTTTTTTTATTATTTGAATGGATGTCGTCGGCATGGGGCATTTGACATTACATGCTTTTTCCCTTCCCCAGGAACCCCACAGCACACCTTATCGAGTTAGTTCGAATTCAGGTTTTGTATGAATAGGAACAGTTATATTCCTCTTGATCAGTTACTGATTTAACTGATCAGATACTTGATTAATTTAATTTGAATCTGAACCATCATTTTAGTATTATAATTAAAGATTTTGTCACTAACGTAAATAAACTTCTTTTTAATGTGTAGAGACATCAGGTTATTTCTAAGCAGAAGACATGAAAAATGTGCAATGCCCTAGCTGGGACTTATACCATGGACCTCTTGAATATGCGCTGAGTGTGCTCACCACTACACCACGAAGGTATGTTAAGAAGGCGGAAAAAATACCTTATCTACTCCCCCTTTTAAAGGGTGACTGGGGATTACAGGATCCAATCACCAAATCCTGGTGGTGGAGAATCGTCATCCACCATCCTTTTAGTTTGGGTGCCACTATAGAGACATTAGGTTATTTCGAAGAAGACATGAAAAATGTGAAACGCCCTCGGAAGGGCTCGAAACAAGGACTCTCGAATACGTGCCAACTGAACACTATACCACAAAGGTGTGCTAATAAGGTGGGAGAAATACCTTATAAATGATTTGATTCAACGTTCATAATTCACAATGCAGTGATGCATTGGCTGGGAAGTTCTGGATTTGCACACTGCAACTGTGTAAAGTTTGCTCAAAATAAGATTAAATTTTCTTTTTTTTGAATTTTTGGAATGCACAAGTAAACTTTTCATAAAAATACACGACCTAGAGCATTTAAAAGAGTTTGCTCAAAATAAGATTAAATTTTCTATTTTTTGAATTTTTTGGAATGCACAAGTAAACTTTTCGTAAAAATACACGACCTAGAGCATTTAAAAGAGTAAAGATTTTCCCCATTATATATCACGCTAATAAAAGAGCACAGATGACACAAGCGTTAATGTATGATTGGTTTGAAAATCAGGTACTATTCCGTTTTGAGGACTGTAAAAAAATTGCAGCGAAAATGTATGCGCAAAAGGGCCAAATTTAGCACACGCGCTGATTTCAGATTGTGCAAGTTTATATTTCTTAAGACGCCATTGAAATACTATTTTAATTTTAAAATCCTTTTTTGATATCCTATGGATTTAACAATTTGGGAATTGCCGGTGACGAAAAGTCTTCAATAGAATTTTGAGGAAAGTGACAGATCACCCACTGGACGCATTTTTAAGATTGACATACTCGGATCCATGTACAATACCTATTTCACTTAAAAAAAATCCCAGAATTGCACAAAAATGGCACTGAGCACACCCTTGACTTATCTATGTGCACATCGACCTATTTTCACTTAAAAATAAAGAAAAATGACAAAAATCCAATGTTTTTACTCTTGTAAAAAGCGGCAAAAAATAAGTGGGGATTTCTGCACTTTACCGAGAATTTTTCATAGAAAAGACATCATTCATTATAGAAAATAATGTTGAACAACCAACGAGATGAAATTATGCTTTAGCCTAACTCGGTAGGAAATAGTGATGCATCCATTCAGTATGTTTAGCAATTTTTATATAAATTATAATAATGATATGAAACAGTTATTTACTCTTATGCTTCCATTCAGTCATGTTTAGCTTTTTTAATATAAATTATAATAATAAAAATTTATTATATGAAATTAACTTTTCATCTAAATTAAAACATTAATCTTAGATAGTTATACTTCCTTTATTGCGTTAGGGTTGCCACAATTATTTTTGGCAGCACAGGCATCAACAATAGTTTGGCGATTTTTTACGGCTCTCAAAACCGAAAATCATTTTATACTTTAAATTCACAAATTAGATCCATATATTTTCTACTACTTTCGGTTCTAAATGTGTTATGATGCATTTAAATTTAATCTAATCCTGGTTAATATTAGCAATTGAGAACTGTGCTTTAATTTGGAAGAACGAACTATCTGGTTTTTCTGCCCAAAAGATGGAATTTTAATGCTTACCTTGTTCACAGTAAATTCCTCAACAGGAGTATTCTAAACAGCACTTTCAGTTTGCATAGTTTGATGTTTAGATGAAATTATTCATCCCAAGAGTCACCAGATGTTATGGATGCTATGCTGAGTCAATATATGGAATAATTTAATGACCTAAATGATAATTCCAGAACAGATGAATCGTATTTTAATTTACAAGAATAAAAGGAGATGTTAGAGTTACAACATCAAAGCAAAGACTTCTTTGTTTATATTTTTCTTGTTGCCAATCTAGAGAAACTACACAAAAACAATGATAATATTATACACAGAGGGAACTGCTACAAACTTCAGCAAAGCAGGAAGGCACAATCACGGAACTGAGAGAGCAACTGTCTCTTCAGCCTTCAAAAACTAGTTATTTCTGAAGTACGGGAAAGTTTTTAGCAATAAGAGGTTAAAAAGTTTATCAAAATAAACTTTCTAGAACAATCCCCAAATTCCAATGGCATTGCTTCCACCAAAAATATTTCTGAAAAACAGACTCCATCAAATCAAAAATCATATTCTATTCCTAAAATTTAAAGATTCAAAAAGAATACCTTAAAATAGCAGAAATCAACTAAGTTTGGCACTTAATCTGCAAAAACTGCATATCCATATCAATAATATCTGCACTAGGAAGTCTAAAACATTTTTAATCAGTGTCGAAAAGCAAACTTAGAACATTTACAACACTCAGTCCCTAAAAACTCACATCTGCAAGCTTCCGTGATTGTTCATACATTAAAACCCAAAAGTATCAGGATAATGGTGTCTAACGTACCCTTTTCAGCAGCTAGAGAAGATATCAAACTGTTCTTTCTGAAAATTACATCAAATTATGATCATGATACCTCTTAATGTTTCACAATTCGCTGATCTGAAAATAGAA